ATTCTCACTTTCACTATTCTAATTGGAGTAGTTTGATGGTTCGTTATTCCTTGAGCCGCTCAAAAGGCTCTCAAAACAGGCATTAAAAGCATGCTTGTCTTTACGAGGGAGGGTGAAGAAGCATATGAAAAAGAGTTTAATTTTAAGAATACTTGTTCATTTTTAATGGGAAAATCACTTGGTGGAATATTCGATGGTGAAAGAATAAGAATAGAACTTAGAAAAGAATTACAAAAGTATGAAAAAGAATTAGAGGAAGGAGATGAGAAAGTGAAAAACCTTCCTTGAAAAGAAAAATTGCTTATCCAATTTGCTTATGGAGTTGAAAATGGGACTTTTACTCTTCTTCCTACCCCTTTTTCCACTGATAATGCTTTTTTTTTCCAACAGACCGAAGGCTATACCGAAGGGAAACCCTTTTGAAAAATGCTTTTTGATATTTCTTGATGAAATCTTACGGGGATCGTGGTTTTATACTGATTTATTTTCGAGGTTTTTGACAAGACCTTTTTCCCCTCCCGCCGAGAGGGAGAGGAAGCCACGGTTTTAACCATGACCCCGGGCGTAAAAAGGAGCGATATAATTTGAGGAAAGATTCTCGCCTTTTTGACTTTTTATTTTCTAATTAATATTGTCATATTCTTAATTCCATTTGGGATTTATTATTTCTGGTTAGCCCCGGAGGTTAATTTCGCTTGATTTGCCTTGTTGGCTTTAATCACGATAATTGTGGGACCGCTTTTATTCTTTAGTTTAATTTTTGCTCCTTATCTTTTCTTTGGCTCATTAACCGGGCAAAGGTGAATATTCTCGACTTTAATCTCTTTTTTTCCGCTGCTTTGGATTGGATTAAAAATGATTAGTTCGGCCAGTTGACCCTACACGGTGGAAAGAACTTTCTTTGACCCGCTTTGATTTTCCCTGATTTCCCTAGTTTGCGGAATTTTTTTCCTCATTCTTTATTATTTAAGTTATCAAGAAGAAGATTTAAGTTAGTCTAAAATTATAATTGTTTATGTTAAATTCCAAAAAAAAAAAAAAAAACCTTTTTTTAAAACTTTATCGTTATTATTGTGCTAAATTATTATCAAGAATTTGAGTAGTGCTTCTTTATTTTCTGCTCTGAGTCATTCTTATAGTTACTCATTTATTTTCGTCGAGGAAAATATTTGCAGATTTACTCGCCAAAGCTACCAGTTGACAAATGAAACTCTTCACCTTTTGACTTATCTCGTTTATTCAACTAGGTGCTTTAATGTCAATGATGACTCCGCTTGTTTCTTACCTTGTTGGACGAGGTTTGGGTTGGAAGGAGTTTAAAAAAAAACAACTTTTTCGCTTGCCGAAAATTAGCCGGGAGGAGGACATGAAAGTTCTTATTTTTACTCCGGGTGTGGACCGGGAAACGGTCATCCGAGCCAAGTTTACTGCCACTTTTACTTTCTTTCTAGCAATTAATTTTTTCCTCACTCTCCTCGGCTTTTTTTACTTCTTGTTTTTCACTAATTTTGGAGCAATCGCCGCTTGCTCTTTTTTGCTACTTAATGGAGTAGGATTCGGTTTGGTTAACTTTTTAATTGTGGCTCCTCTCCTTTTTTATCAACAAGAAGGAGGCTCTTTTTGGGTCTATCTCCTTTGCTTTGTTTTCATAATACTCTTATCTGGTTCTCTTTACCTTTTAAGAAATTTATTATGACAATATCCAATTGTTTTTTGCTTGCTCCTGGTGCCTTTTTACATCTTGGCTGGCTATCTCTTTTTTTCTCTTTATCGAAAAAAATTCTTGAAAAGCGATTTGGACTAAAAAATACTATTTTTTCGATTAACAGTAAAACAATTATATATGCATTTAACTAACCAAAAATAAATTAAGAGATGGTGAAAGGTGATAAGATATAAATAACAATAAATTAAATATATATACTACATACAATAATAACAATTATGGTAACTATCAAAGAAGTAAAAGTAACAAAAATAGACGGAGAAAACATAGAAATCGATGGAGTTAGAATAACAATTGATGAATATAATCGCACTCTAAACAACAAAGATGACAAGGATGAAATTGAATATGATAAATTAGTCAACGAGATAGAAGGAAGTATCACGGATGAAGATGGAGAATATCTTCCTGACCATGTCCAAATTGAAGAGTCTAAAAAAGTTAGATATACGGATTATGCCCTTTGGAAAGAATGTAAACGGAGACTTGAATCGGATAGAAAAAATCTAAAAGGAACTACAACGATTTTCAAAGCAAACCAACCTTATACTGGTGCCCCAGGCGATGATGAAGCTAAAATCCAAGATATCGTTAGAAAAAATAATGCTGCTTTACAACATAATTTAGATTTACACCGAGCCACTTTACCTTTTTTACGGAGTTTAATCAGCAAAAAAGTAGAAATTGGGCAGGGATTAGGCACACCCCTAGTTAATCCGGATGCTGACTTAAATCGCGAAGAAAAAGGTAAAAGACATAAGCAACTTAATTCCTGTCGGGATGAGGCTTATCAAGCCATCGACCAGGCTTTGAATGAAGAACCGACTATTGCCAAGGGTGATTATGACTCAGAATTGGAAGATATTCGCACCGCGATTGACGAAGGAGCAGTAAACCGAGTTAAAGAATGGGTTTTAGCCGACATTAAAAAGAAAAGAGATGCAATAAAGTCCAATGATAAAGGCAATCCCGACCACAAAAGAAAAAGAGAAGAAGATAATATTCCTGATAACGCAAAAAAACCTCGTCTGGATGCCAATGAGACTAAAAGTGTCGCCGAGTTAAGAAACAAAACCATTGAGGAAATAGATAATAATAGTTTAGCCACTGCTATCAAAGTTGCTACCCAATTAGAAGGAGAAAAGGAGTACCAAAAAGATACTGAAAAAGTGAAGTTGGCCGAAGAAGAGTTAATAAAAAAAGATCCACGCTTGTATATGCAAACCATAGTTGATGCCATCAAAGGTCGCCTAGAAGATGCGGGGATTAAGGTGGATGTTAGATACGACCTAAATAATGGTGATGAAAACGTAGTAAGCGGGGAGGGAATAGATGAAGAAATAAAGAAAAATTACAAAATATTGTTGGATTGTCAAGAAGGAAAAGGAAAATATATCGGTTATAATTTTGATGGCATGGAGGAACGTTTGCAAGATTTTCAAGCCAGCAAAGTTAAACTAATCAAAAAAATTGGTGAAGTAGGTGCCAAAAGTAAATGAACTTCTTTATTTAACCAAGCCCAAACAATTTTACAGCAAGCCAAAAAAAAGGTTACTGAGAAAGTAAAAAAAGATATAAAAACACTTCAAGAGCAGTTCAAAAGTTTCAAATCAGGGGCTAATGCTTATCTCGATAGTTTTTATCAAAAGGATAAAGAAAAAATTGATAAATTGGAAAATGATTTAGTTAATTCCTTGTCTACCAACCAAACTGATTCGCCAAAAAAAACTCCGTGAGGAATAATTATTCCCGTTTCCTTAATGGCGATATTAGCGGCAGTCGTAGCAATAGTATTAGTGAG